CCCCCCCCCCCCTGCGATGACATACATCGCCCGAGACATGCTGCGACTTGCAGACGCCCAGAACACACGCCTCCGAAATGTGGGTTGGGGGGTTGCATTAGGTCGCGTTTGGGTTTTTTGCGTCCTCTCGTGCGGTCGCACGTAAGCATCTAAAGAATGCACACACACGCGTCCAGTTACTTGTCATGGTGTCGGGGGTTATGCTCAGCGGCAGCTTCGAGTTTGGCGTAGGTTTAAGACTTCTCGCGGGAGAGCTGATCGTCGACACCCTAAGTTTCTACGCTCCCTACAAACTACTTTGCATTCTCTCCTCTGCCTCTCTACATTCATCTTTCTCTCTCCCTGCGTGCTTGCTATCGCTCGAAAAGCTAGAGTAGGGAAGCCGAGGTGTTCTTGAGCACTCCAGCTCTGGTGTCACGCTACATGGCACGATAGCGGCTTTGCGTGGCATGGGAACAAAGTCTGATGATCTGCCCGTCTCACCCCGCCGCCGCCAACGCTCCACATCATTTGTTGTCGGCTTTTTGTGCCCAAGGTGGAGGCTGACATCGCACCGTTCCGAGCGCTGCTGCTTGGAATGTTTTTCATGACGGTCGGCTTCGAGATCGACCTGGCTCTCTGCTTTAACAACCTGCCCTTGGTCGCCAGCCTCGTGAGTGCCTCTTCCGTTCCTCGTGTCCACGCTTTGTGTCGCTTCTGCTGCTAGCCGCGGCTGGTGTTCGTCGTCCTTGTCCTCGTCCTCGTCCTCGTTGGTGATGCTGCTTGCGTTGTTCGTGGCAGTGTTGTCCATGGGCTGCTTGTTTTCGGGGGCTGGACTCGAGTGCGCTTTATAGGTGGTTTCGGTTCGTTACGGATGTACTTCATCCGTTACCCACTTATCAGCGTATCACAGAGGAGAAGACACATGCAGCAGTGCGCCCTCTTGTGCAAGAGATCGGTCGGTGTTGCCGTCCAACTCATCGGCGTACGCGTACACCCACCGAGTGGATTGTGCAACTATGGACAATAGCTCGGCCGAAATCATCGGGCATGGCCTTGGCGAAGTCTTCGGTCCCTCCCGCGCGGAACAGCTTTTGGTATTGTTGTCTTTTTGATCCTGCACTCGACTCACGTACGTACGCCTCGCGATGTTGTACGCAAACTGAGTAATGTGTAACCGTCTCCCGATTACGTAGCAGTAGATCTGCCCGCAGCAGCAGCTCCTACGGTTCCGCGGCGCGGCAACAGACAAACGCCTACCCCCCAAAACCCCCCAGTGTTTGCCATCGGGATTGGGTTTTCGTCGCTTGGCAACGACGTTGTAAAACAAGCCAATTCACTTCGTGAACTCGGCAACGAGGTTACTGTTTTTTTTTTTACCTCCGTTTTTCTTTTTGGCGGTAACCATAATGGTGGTCGAGTAGATCATGTTGTGCGGGGTGAACCCTCACTCCGCGCAAGGGGGATAATCGCACCACGTTGTGTTAAATTGGTCAAGCACCCTCGAGGCAGTTACACAGTGCTTAAAACTGTGTCTGGAAGTGCAAGCACCAGAAACTTAGTTAAGTCATACGCAGCTGTCGTCCGTACGCAAGGAAGTAAGCACAAGATGCCGAAAACCCTTAGCAGGATGCAGCGCACCCTTCATGCGACTCGCCGAATATCACACGGCGCTTCGCGCTTGGTGATGTGAGAGCCTGGCCCGGTGAGCACCCGGCGTGCTCCGTNCCCCCCCAAGACTTGTCTTTTCCGACCCCGCCGCTTGCGACTGACTTTTGTTCATCTTCTCTACCCTGTCTACACCAATCGTGTGTCCTTGGTTGTCGGCTCCTCCCGGTCTCCCTCCCGGTCTCCCTCCCGGTCTCCCTCCCGTCCCCCTTCTTCCTCCGCTCGTGAAAACAGGTGTCGGGCTTGCTGGCGATGAAGGCGGCGATTATCGCCTTGATCGCCTTGGCCTTCGGTCTCTCCGTCGCGAACGCGCAGCAGACGGGGCTGCTTCTCAGCCAGGTGTGACGATTTTCATCAAAACTTGAAACTAACAATAAATTGAAACTGACCCTAAATTGAAACTAACACTACTTTTTTTTATGTGCGGAATGGTCGGGCCGGGGTGGCGTCCTGTACGTTGCGGGTCGTGTCGGAAAAAGAGCGAGCAGCGTTTCACCTTTATTTACAATAGTGTGCCTGTCTGTCGCCTGCGGAAAATCAAAACCCGACTGGGGGTGCGCGCGCCGAGTTGGGACCCCAAAAGAAAAAGGGGGGGAAACTTTCAGCATGGGTGAAGGGAGGTAGACTAGGAGGAAAAGGGTTTCTATCCCGTGGAAAGAAGGAAGTATCGGCCGACTTTTGGACACGTGTACGCTATATAGCTTCGGCCTCACCATGCCATTAACTCGGACGGGTACCTCGCTCACAAGGACTCTCGATGAACCCCATCGTTCGGAAATATTGCGTCCCGCGTGTCTCACACGCGCGTAGGGTTACAGGGTACGTTATTACCACTCGCCGGGCACAAGTAGTGATGGCGCTCAGCCGTTCATACCTTGACCTCCCTACAGAAGTTGAGATTGTCTTATAATCGTGCTTCTGCTTCATATCCTGGACGCGGCGTGGTGGTTCCCTGCCCCCAACTGACCGACCCAAAAAATCACCACGCCCACCACCCACGATGCTCCGGTGTGGACGAGCAGGGCGGGGAGTTCGCTTTCGTGGCATTCGGGATGGCGGAGCGCCTAGGCATCATAGAGCCGCAGCTGTGCAAGCTGCTGCTGACGACCGTGGCCATCAGCATGGCGGCCACGCCGGCGCTTTCTAACTTCTCCGCCTGGGTCGCCGACCAGGTGCGCCTTTGTGTCGTTGCGTAGATTTAGATTGCGTTGACGCCGATGTGTTTGCTGTTGTGAGACTTTGGAGCGTCTCGGAATGCAGGAGGGTACGGCCGCCGCTGAGACATTATGCGTGTGTCTGTGCAGTGCCCATGTATGCTGGTGCTGTTGTGAAGCGTTGGGATGTTTTCATCGGTGATGATATCTTCTCTTTGCCAGAAACGGAGTGGACGTTGTGACACGAACACATGGGTTTTGTGAAATCTGCTGTTCATGCGGCTCCCTCGCTCTTTTTGAAAGAGGCGGCCTCCTCTGGGGGTGGATGCCCGGCGGCTTACCCTTTTGGTTCGACCGACACTCTGAAGGCGCTCATCTCAGCTTTTTTGTGACGACAGGAAACGAGGGGGGGCTCTTGAGGCTTCGTTGCACACTTTGACCTTTGTACAGCAACAATGAATAACGGCGGTGCCTGTCCCCCCCCGCCGCCGCTTCCAGCCCGGCCCGCTGGCCAACCCCGCTTTCTCACTTACACGCTCACACAACACACAAGTTCTGTCGTTAGTCCGGAGAGTAGTTTAGCCTCCCCCATGACGCCCCCCGTCATGGTATGCAACGAGGACAAGGAGGAAACAGTTGAACAAAGATGGAAGCGGGGGATCGAGGAGATTGCAGTAGTGGACCAGTACACATACCCCGGAGTAGAGATCGCAAAAGACTGCTCGTGGAATGCACACATGTCCAAGGTGGCGGAAAAGGGCAAAGCACGAGCAGGGAAGCTGCACCCCACACTCGCAAACCGGCACCTCGATACACGCATCAAATTGACGGTTTTGAAGAGCGTAATCGTACCGCCACTAGAGTACGCCGGAGAAGTATGGGAAGGAAATAAGAAGGTAGTGAAAG